CAATGTTATTTTCATTTTTGCGTCATTTTGACAACAATTTATCCATCGCACTCTGTATGTCTGTTAAAATGAGATGTCAATATTATTTTCATTTTTGCGTCATTTTGACAACAATTTATCCATCGCACTCTGTATGTCTGTTAAAATGAGATGTCAATATTATTTTCATTTTTACGTCATTTTGACAAAAATTTATCTATCGCACTCTGTTTGTCTGTTGAAATGATATGTCAATGTTATTTTCATTTTTACGTCATTTTGACAAAACTTTATCTATCGCTCTCTGTTTGTCTGTTGAAATGAGATGTCAATGTTATTTTCATTTTTACGTCATTTTGACAAAACTTTATCTATCGCACTCTGTTTGTCTGTTGAAATGAGATGTCAATGTTATTTTCATTTTTGCGTCATTTTGACAACAATTTATCCATAGCACCATGTACATTTCTTCTTTGGGTAAGTACTGTTAGTCATTGTCCTTTGATGTCCATATGAAAACTACGAACAAGAATAACCTGTTCAATTTTGACTCCCATCACTGTAATAAAATCAAACTAGGAATAATTATAGAATTCTACTTATGAGCGTTCAGAAATATATATAGGAAACACTTTCAAAAATCTCTACTATCTTTATCATATATTGTGTATATCGGCAGCAATCCCTCTTTTATACATGTTGCATTAAAGAAAACTGACAAGGCACTGCGGTGAAGGTTTTTACTTAATTTTTATTTGGGCTCGTACGATTGTTTACTATTCTGAATATAAAGTGTGTAAAAACTGTCCAAACGTTCTGCACATCCGAGCGCTTTCGACTATTCTTTTTGCCATTATAAATGATTTTATTTTTTTATTTTCAACTGAATGAATAATTGTTATGTATGTATCCGAAGTTATAGAAATGTTTTTTTTTCCAAACACGGTGAGCATAATGTGGCCGTGTTCATAGTTAACGTTCATGTTGCCTTTTTCTTTCTGATTATTAGCACTTATTTTTAATCTTTTGTTTTTACATATGGGAGAGTACTTGTATTTTCTACGAGTATATTGCAGATGGACTTTGTTAGGTCTTCGTGTGCATATAAATGTGTCCTATTTGAACTCTCGGCAGATAGATGTAACGTAAGTCGTCAAGATATGCACGTAGTGGTATGACCAATATAATTATTTATAAGTTTTCTTTCCGAAATACAGTTCCTTAAGGTAACTGAATATGTGAATGTAGGATTTAACTTCAATGTCCACTGTTATATATATATATATATATATATATGGTACAATGTAACACTAACAAAATGAACTAGATAAAAATCTCGTTACGCATCTAATAATACGCATAAAATAAATTGCAACAGTTTTAAAAATCATAAATATATGCCAATGCGCTTGTGTATTTTGAACCCGAAAGAGACGTACATATCGCCATATTTGTAGACAGCCACACCTGGATATGCTTAGAGAATATCAGCAAGAAAAGACTTTTTTTTTGTTTCAAGTTAATCATCAAAGGAAACTAATGAAAATAACTTTATATATATATATATGTGTGTGTGTGTGTGTGTGTGTGTGTGTGTGTGTAAGCGGTTTGTCTCTTTCGAAAACATTTCCCTCTCCTTCGTTGATGTTATAAAAACCTCCCACATGCCCCTGAAAGACCTAAGCCTTAATTCAGGGATCTTTACCCACTCCCACATCCCGACACACCCTTCCTCGCGCCTGATGTAACTCCTTTTCAATCATAAACACATTTACACATGGCCTTTAGCAATAAACGGCAGCTATCAGGCGAAAAACTAAATACAAGCAGACGGCTTTGGAAAATGGGAGCTGAAATCCACATCTCAAGGAAACGTTTTTTTTCTTTTAAATAGTTTTATCTATCTATCTATCTATCTATCTATCTATCTAAGAGTACTTAGTATGTATCAATTCATATATCTATCAATCTACCAGTTTCTAAGATTCTACAATATCTATTTATATTTCTCAGTCCATCTCTGTCTCTCTCTCTCTCTCTCTCTATATATATATATATATATATATATATATATATATATATATATATATATATGTAACCC